GTTATTCAAGATGATGAAGTATTTGATATTGTTGTAAAAAGTGGGATTGATATAAGAGTTGAAGGGATATTAGAGGAGAAACTGATGGCATCCCCAGAGTGGATTACAAAAGTATTAGAAAATGGAACTGATATATTTTTATTTGATGAAACAATTTATAAGAATCCTGATTATTTCAAAGTGGCAATGAAATTAAATCCAGGAATTATAACATTGGATGAATCATATTCAAATAATAAGGAAATGGCAATGCATTTGATTGATTGTTGTAAAAATATAAGAAATTATTACGAAAGTGCTGATTTGAGCAGTATTACATTTTCATATTTCAGTAATGAATTATTGAATGATTCAGAATTTGTTGAAAAGGCAATATTTGAAACTAGTGCATTTACAGATATTCAAAATTTACCTATCCAATTTCAAACTAATTTGAAAATTGTGAAATCAACACTTTGTAAACAACCTAATATGTATATTCATCTTAGAGATGAAATTAAATCAATGAAGGAAATTGGGGAATTTGCAATTCGTTGTAATCCTCAAAATTACAATCATCTCCCTCAACATTTAAAAGATTGTAGACAAATATTTCTATTTGCATTATCGAGAGGATTGAAACAAGTGAGAGGAAAATTAAATCATCAACCCAATGAAATAACAGATCCCTTTGAATGGAAAGTAATTTCAACTCAACAAGGTAGAAATGATATGATGATTCATACTATTAAAATTGAGCATTAAGTATGTGCACTATACTTATTATTGTGCAATAAAGAGTATTGTTGTTATGACTCGGGTCACTTTACTTTTGAGGGAGTCTCTTTTTTAAGAAGTGTTCCATCAATGCACAGACATTGGACACGCTTAAATCATTTGCAACTATGAAGAGGGTTTCTATAAATCTACCATATTGCAATCTAGGCTACATTTATTTGCAACCTCATTGTTTGTTATATTAGAAGGGAAGAAGGCTTGTTGAATGAATCATCTATGGTAGTACTACTGCCTTGTTGATGAAAAATCAACAGTAAAATTACAAAATCGCTGATAACACCCAACAACAAAGCGCATCGTCATAAAGCACAACAAACATATCGATAAAAAAATGAGTGCAATCAAACAGTTGGGTGACACACTCTCTTCCGGAGCCTCACAATTAGGTTCTTCGATTAGCAAGACTATGAGCTCTGTCGGTTCGCTGATGAAGCAAAATAAGAATACCAATCTTCCGGATAAGAAGGGTGAAATTCAAGAATTAAAACAATTGTTATCCGATCCAACAATCGATAACGACCAAACCAAGAAGAGAGAAGTATTACAACGTGTGATTGGATTTACTACTATGGGTTTGGATACAAGTAAATTGTTTGATAGAATGATCATGGGTGTTAACACAAAGGATATTGTTCAAAAGAAAATGATTTATCAATATATTACTCACTATGCTAGACAAAACGTTGATTTGGCAATTTTAGTTATTAACACTTTAGCAAGAGATTGTAGAGATGAAAGTCCTATTGTTCGTGGATTGGCTCTTCGTTCATTGAGCAGTTTGAGAATTTCTAAACTCACTGAACACTTGGTTCCTCTTATCAAGGAAGGATTAAACGATCCAAGTCCGTATGTTAGACGTTCTGCTGTTGTTAGCGTTTCTAAATTATACAAACTTGCTTCAAATATTGTTAAAGGTAGGTTGTTTTAATATTATTAAGGAGTCTAAAAATATTTCAGCTGAAAAGTTTGATGATAGATTATATGATATGATTCAGGATAAGGATTGTCAAGTTATTGTTAACGCTATTCGTTCCTTAAATGAAATTGAAGAAAGTGGAGTTAATGTTACTAAAAAGATGGTTTATCACCTTCTTAACAAGTTAGCTGAATATACCGAATGGCAATTAACTGAAGTTGTTACATTATTATTAAAATATAAGCCAGAAACTAATGATGAAATTTTCGATATCATGAATTTATTGGATGATAAATTGGAAATTTCAAATGCTTCAGTTGTAATGTCCATCACTAACTTATTCTTACATTACACACAAAATATGCCAAAGAATCACACCAGAGTTTTTGGAAGATTGAGAGACCCAGTTTTGTTACTTTTTGCTACTTCAAGTCCTGAACTTGCCTATACAATTTTGCAACATTTAAAGTTTATGATTTCTAGATGTCCACAAGTTTTCCAACCATTCTTTAAAGATTTTTATATTAAGTATAACGATCCAACTTACTTGAAGGAATTAAAGTTAGAAGTATTGACTCTTTTGGCTAATGAAAAGAATGTCCAAGAAATAATGAGTGAATTAAGTTACTATGTTTCTTTGGGAGATATTTCTGTTTCAACATCTAGAAAGGCCATTAAATCATTGGGTGAAATTGCTGTTAGAGTTTCATTTGCTACAGAAGATTCTTTGACTCACTTGATTGACTTTTTAGATTCTGGAGTTCTTCATATTATTAGTGAAACTATGATTGTTTTGAAAGATATTTTGAGAAAGTACAATGATCTTGAATTTTGTAAAGTATACCTTCCATCAATTACCAAACATTGGTCCACCCTTCAAGATCCAGAAGCCATTTCTTCATTTGTTTGGATTTTGGGAGAATATGGTAGAGCTGATATTATTCAAGCTGCTCCATACATTTTAGAAAACTTTATTGATTCATTTTTGACTTATCACTATAGTGTTAGAAATCAAATTTTAACTAGTTCAATGAAATTGTTCTTCCTTAGAGCACCTGAAATGTCAGCCATGTTGGGAAGACTTTTTGAAGTTGCTGTAAATGATACTTCGCACGCTGATGTTCACGATCGTGCATTGTTCTATTATAGATTAATCTCTGCTAACGTTGATTTGGCTAAGAGTGTAGTTTTGACAAAGAAGGATGTTGTCACAAAGTTCTCAGAAGAAGAGTCAGTAGAATTCCGTGATCGTTTATTCTCTGAATTCAATACTCTTTCAATCATTTATGGCAAACCAAGCGAAAGATTTATTGTAAAGGATGTTGAAGTTCTTGGGCAAGCTATTGATGATGGAAGTGATGATGAAGAAGAAGTTGAAGAACAAGCTGAGGAAGAAGAGGCTGAAGAGGAAGAAGAAGAGGAAAGCAAGCAAGCTTATGAAGAAAGACTTTTGGAAGATATGGATTATGATGAAACTAATAATGTTGCCATTGTTGTTCCACAAGCTTTAACACCTCAAGAATATCAACAAAAATGGAAATCTGAATCATTTGTAGCTTCCACACATTCATGTAGATTTAGCCTTAACGATAGACCAAGTCATGCTGAAATTGAAGAAAAGTTGAGAGAAAACAGTGTACTGACTATGGCCAGTAATATCAGAAACGAACCTCATATGTTTTATTTCTACACACAAACAGCCGAGACTCATTATATTTTAATTGAAGCCAAGATTTTCCAACAAGGAGAAACAATTTGTACACTTAGATCGAGTGATCCATCAAAATTACATCAATTTGCTGTTGATATTGAGTTTATTCTGTCTGAAATTGCAGTTGAATAAATATATACAGTTTTTTACATCTTTTGAACTCGTTTATGTTCATTTACAGCAGTATCCACATTAAATGATTCTCCACAACCACAAGTACCAATTGCATTTGGATTATTAAAAACAAATTTAGCATGTACTTCATTCTCTTCATAATCCATAACAGTACCAATAACATTCATTACTGCACTTGGTTGAACAATTAATCGTACACCCTTATCTTCTACAATTTCTGCAAGTTTGGGTATTTCTGTATCTTGGAAAATGTAATCAAAAGTCCATGAAAGTCCATTACATCCTCTCTTTTTTAATCCAATTAAAATTCCGAATGCTCCAGGTCTCTTTGATAACAAGTATTGTAATCTTTCAGCTGCTCTATCTGTTACAGTTAATACTTGTTTTTTTGCTACTGCTCTTCTCTTTTTTGGTGCTGCTTTTGTTGTAGTGGTGTTGTTGTTGGTGGATGAATTATTACTTGGTGATGATGTAGAAGCAGCAATATTTGTATTAAATTTACAATTTGAAAAACTTCGGACTTGTGATAAATAATTATTATTTAATAATACTATTAAACTCTTAGAGGTATTCAAATTCCGATAAGTTTGATACAATGGTGTTTTCAAAGAACATGTTTTAAACAGATTAACTGCAGAAATTAATGTTTGATGTTTGGTCATTTTTTTGGATAATAAATTTGATTGTATTTTTGCTGGGATTCTTGAAGCACAAAAGTTAGTCACTTTTGACTTAACAAAAACGGACTCCAACGAAAATAGACCTTACTCAATTGACTGAATGGGAGAAAGTTGAGGAAAAATGGGTTTTTTTAAAGATGATAGAATCTTCAAGTATTAAGAAGATAATTTTAATTTCCTTATTCTAGATTTGAGTATTTTTGAAGAAATTCATACTTGTATGTTGCAGTTAATTCATTGAAAAAGAATAACAGAGAACAATTGGATTTCACTGATGGTATTGCTATCTATTTCGAAAATCCCAGAAAACAAAGACTTCCCAGGGAGCTGAAAAGAAAGCTCGAACCTACCTTAGTGATTTATTACTTGCCAGTGACGATTGCTCACATCTTTGGTCTTGCATATCACAACCTTTCAAAAAAAAGGCTTTACGTCCCTTGCTTGCCGATCTGTTCATTACTTTTTGATCATCAGGAGCCTTCATCACATTCATCATTCAACTATTTCATCATCACATTACCAATATTATTATTATTATTAATTTAATATATATTTAAAATATGAAATCAATAACATCCTATTCTAATTTACCAATAGACTTGGAAAAAACCAATTATACAACCAATATTCCTTCCATTAGTAATAATAATGAACAAAATAATAGTAGTAATATAAATGAAAAATTACCCATTGATACAGTACTTGTATTCGGAGGTGGTAATTTTGGTATGGCACTTTCCTATCACTTGGCCCATCACTTGAATGATCGTATTACAATTTATGCAAGAGATGAAAATGTAGTCAATTCAATTAATAATCAACATTTAAATCCAAAATATTTATCACAATTTCAATTACCTGAAAATATGAAAGCAACAAATTCAATTGATTTGGAAACTATTAATAATCATTCAGTTTTATTATTTTCAATTCCAACTCAATTTATGAGAGGTGTTTTATTGAAATTTAAAGATTTAATTTTACAAAGTTGTAAAGAAATGAAACATTTATTTATATTTGCTAATAAGGGCATTGAAAGTGAAACTTTACAATTACCATATCAAATTATTGAAGATGTTATGGGAAAGGAATTTGCTGATGAATGTGTCTTTTTAAGTGGTCCTTCTTTTGCTGTTGAAATTTGTCAAAGACAAGTGACTTGTGTAACTGTTGCTTCTTCAAATATTAAGAGTGCTTTATGGGCACAACGTGTTTTGTATGTTTTACTTCTTTAAATTAGTGTTGTTTATATTTGATAAACAGTCACAGTTCACATTTTAGAGTTTATACTTCAGATGATCCAGTTGGAGTTGAAGTTTGTGGAGCTCTTAAGAACGTTATAGCTATTGCTTCTGGTGTATGTTCAGGTTTAGGATTTCAAATGAATACAAGAGCAGCTCTTTTAACAAGAGGTTTAAATGAAATTACAAAAATTGGACATGTTTTAGGAGCAAATCCTTTAACAATGAGTGGATTGGCTGGAATTGGTGATTTATTCTTAACTTGTACATCGGAAAAATCAAGAAATTTCACAGTTGGATTTAGATTAGGAAAAGGAGAGAAAATTAATGATATTTTAGCAAATTTAGGAAGTGTTGCAGAAGGTGTTCCAACAACTAAGGCTGCATTTGAACTTGTTACAAAACTTGGAATTAATTGTCCAATTATTTCAGCTGTTTATGGAATTATTTATCAAGATAAGGAAATTAAACAAGCAGTTAAAAATTTATTAGAAGAAGAAGCAAGTGTTGAATTTTCATTGTATCAAAATAAATTATATTAAATTTATTGCAATGTTTAATGAATAATGGATAAATTTACCAAAAGAATATTAAGAATATAAATTTAGCAATAAAGTATTTAAGATAATTTTAAAGAGATGACATTCTAATTGAACCATCCATTCTAACAACTTCACCATTCATTAAAGAATTTTCAATTAAGAATTGAACAAGTGAAGCATATTCATTTGGTTCACCTAATCTTTTTGGATATGGAACTTGTTTAGCTAAAGATTCTCTAACTTTTTCACCCAAACTCATTAACATTGGTGTGAGGAATAAACCAGGAGCAATAGTTACACATCTAATATTATACATACTCAATTCTCTTGCTAATGGTAAAGTCATTGAAACAATTGCACCTTTACTTGCAGAATAACTTGCTTGTCCAATTTGACCTTCATAAGCAGCAATAGAAGCTGTATTAATTATAATACCACGTTCTTGATCTTTACCACATAATGGTGCATTTTGTTTCATCATTTGTTGAACTGCCAATCTTAATACATTAAATGTACCTGTCACATTAACATTCATTACCTTATTAAATGATTTTAATGAATGAACAATTCCACTCTTTGGATTATATACTCTACATGGATCCTATTATTATATTTATGATTATTATTATATTCATGATTAAATATTATTGTAAAATGTAAACATGTTAAATATTAATAAATTAAATATGAATAATAATAAAACATACACCAATACCAGCAGCATTAATAACACCATATAAAGTATTTCCAAAAGTTTTAACAAGTTGATCAATACCATCTTGAACTTGATTTTCATCACAAACATCAACATGAACATATTTAACCTTATTTAAATATTCTGTTTCTAATAATTTTCCTTTAGCATCTCCAAGATCAAATATAACTACATTAGCACCTAATGAAACTAAATGTCTAACTATTTAAATATATTATTATTATTATAAATATTATTATTATTATTACAAAATAGTTGTGACAATTTAATTGTTATATTGTTATATTTAATTATATTTTAATATTAAAATATAATAACATACCAGTTGCTTCACCTAATCCGGATGCACCACCGGTAACAATAAATGTCTTGTTAGAAATTTTCATATTTTTTAATAAATTGATTGATGAAAAGTTTGCGCTTGACCTTTTGATCAATTAAGAATTGATTGAATATTTCATCATCATCATTACCATTGTGTTATTGAACAACATGTTAAAAGAATGCTGATAATTTCAAAAAGAGATATTTTATTGTAATAAACCCCAATGTTTAAGTTTTAAAACTAATTCTTGTGATTGATTTGATAATTCATTTCTAATAAATAGAGGTGTTTCATCATTAAATGTCTTGGATGGTTTCTTTAAATTATCAATATATTGACAACAATCTCTAAATTGTTTACCTAATTGTTGTTGTTGTGATGATCCACCACTATTACCACTATTACCACTATTAGAAGACTTTTTCTTATTTTGTTTCTTATTAGAATTATTACCAGAACTGTTACTACTAGATCCATTCGAATTATTAAAATGATCAACTAATAATTGTGCACACTTGCTATCTAATTTAAAGAATAAATTTAAAGCTCTCAAATATTTTGCAATTTTGTGATAATCTCTATCAGTTTTAAATGAACGTATAATACCATCTAAATGTGTAATTACAAATGATTTAATATCACTTGCTTTAACTAGATTATTATTAGATGTATTATTACTATTAGATGTATTATTACTATTACTATTAATATTACTATTAATATTATTATTAAAATCAAATTCAATCATTGATTCTAAAATTCTAAAAGCTAATTTTGATTGTTCAACACGTTCTAAACTTTCCAATTCATATGAACATTCCTTATTAACAAAATTACATAAATTAATAAATAAATTATGAACAAAATTTGGTAATTTTTTCAATAATAATTCTCTCAATTCCAAATCAACAAATATAGCATGATAAAAATCAATACATGTTAATGCAATTTCAGTTTCAAAATCACCATCATCTTCTTGTGTACTATTTTCCATCATTGTAATTTCATCTTGTTTAAAATTTCCTTTAATAATTGGGAATATCTTATTAACATATATAGTCATTTCCTTTTCAAGTAATTCAATATCATATTTTTTCATTGATTTAATTAAACTTGATAATAAACAAATTGAATCAACACCAACTGTTAATAAACTCTTTTCTGTAAAGAATATTGCTATTTGTGTAATTTCTTGATATGTTAATTTAAATAATTCACTACCTATATTTGGTAATGAAATTGTTAATAAATTAAATGCTCTAGATACTTCTTTTTTAGTAAATTTAATTTGTCTAACATCTTCTTCATCATCTTCATCATCTTCATATTGTTGTTGTCTCTTTCTTGAACCTAAAGTTAAACCATTTAATACATTTTTAGCATTATCTTTAACTTTTGTAATAAATTGTAAAGTTATTGTAACAACATGTTCAATTACATTTTTAAATAACATTTCAGTTTCATTACATAATATTCTGTCATTAAATTTAAATATTCTGAATGTAATTCAAACCATAAATATCTATCTGTAATTAATTCTATAACTGGATTATTTAAAATAAAATATTTAAAATTATCAAATTTTTCAATTTCATTTTTAATTTCAATATTAATTAAATCTTTTTTCATATCATTTAAATTATTTAAATTATTATTATTACTATTATTTTCATTACTATTATTATTATTTTCATTATTTAAATTATTATTAATAAAAATTAAATGATTTGTATTTTTAAAATAATCAAATAAATTTAAATTAAAATAATTTAAATATTGTTTTGTAAAATTCATAAAACATCTAATTAATTTAGAAGCATATAATTGTACCTTTCTTCTAAAAACTTTCTTTCCAGAATTATTTGCAATTGATAAACCATTTTTAATTAAATTTAAAAATTCAAATAAAATTAAAATTCTCTTTTCAATCATGAAAATTTCAAAATTATTAAATTGTAATAATTTTCTACATGATTTTAATAAATGTAAAACAAGTGTTCTACCAATTTTAGTTTTTTGATCTGCAACTAATTTTTTAATTAATTCTTGTAAAAATAAAAAAACTTTTTCAAATAATTCAAAA